GGGGACCAGAAGGGTTTGGGGGAGACGCTGTTTCCCCTAGCGCCCGCTGGCATAACAAGAAGCAATGGGCACAAGTTGATGGAGAGGAGGTATAGATTGGACATCCGCAAGAACTACTTCACAGTTAGGGCGGCTAGGAGCTGGAACCAACTTCCAAGGGAAGTGGTGCTGGCCCCTACCCTGGGGGTCTTTAAGAAGAGGCTGGATGCCTACCTGGCTGGACTCATTTGAGTCCCGTTTCTCTTTTTGGAATTTTTTTGTTGTTCTCCCGCCCTGGCGGGGGGTCGGGCTAGAAGATCTACTAGGTCCCTTCCGACCCTTAATCTATGAATCTATGAATCTATGAAAAGAAAAATGACAGATTCTGAGCAAATAAAAAAGGTATTTCGATCTAATAATGAAGCTTCAGTATGTGTACATGCAAATGCATCAGAAAGCCATCCCAGGTATCCAGGTGTTTTGTGGGTGAATGAACTGAGAAAGTCACTTCTTTAGAGACTGATTCTTATTTCTAGTGGTACTTGTAATAAATGGCTGAGAAAATTATAGTATTAAACTCTTGTGTAGCAAATTAAAAATCACAGGTTCTGGACTTCAGCTCTATTTTTATTTCTATCCATAAGTGAAAATAAAGGTGGCTTATGTTTTAAAGAACTTCCTTCCAAAACACATGATATGCTAACATTTACTTAATACTTCAGTTTGTTTTTGATATTCCAATTATTATTTTGCTATACAGATGGTAAGTAAAATGGCACAATCTTGCCTAGTTCACATTGATACATGTTAAATTTGTACGCTTCTTTCATTTGCTTATAAACAAACATAAACCTACCAAGCTCTTGCCAGTGTATTATGGTTATTTAATTTCTGTTAAGTCACGATCAGATAACACTCAATGTCCAAAGTTGTTCTTTATTAATATAGCTGGCTTTTCTTTTTTTTTTAGCAGTTTAAGTAGCCTGGCTTTGAAGAGACATTCATCCATTCTGGCATCCAAAATGTAAAAATAGTTGAGTCTCAACCGTCTTATCATATGAAGCAGCACAGAATTATAGAAAAGTAGGACTGGAAGGTGCCTCTAGAGATCATCTAGTGTAATCCCCTGCCTGAAGCAGGATCATTCCTATTCAAACCATCCTATATAAATCCTTGTCTAGCCTATTACTGAAAATATTGTCAACCCTGTTACATAATCACCAGGCGTAGCAGTCTAACTTGCCAAAGGTAAAGCAGGAGGACCATGGCAGTGCCCTGCTGCTGCTAGGGTTGTTAAAATATGCCCAAGAGATCCAAGGAAGAGGGCCATGTCACTGGCTACATGGCAGTCAAAAAACCCCACAGTCCATACCAATCCAATCATGGGGTAAAATTTCTTTCTGACCCCAAATGTGATGGTTAGTCAGGCCCAGAGCAGAGGGACACGACCCTCTAGCTAGGAACCTTCAGGAGGAGCACTGGCAAACGCCAGTCCAAATCCCTAGCCTTGGCTGCAGTCAACTCCAAATCCTTACAAAGGAGGCAAAAAAACCCAGACACCTACAGCAACAGGAGAGGAAAAATATTCCTTCCCAGACCTACATGGCAACCAGCAAATGCCAGAAGCATATGAAATACCTATAGCAGTGCATAGGTCTAGCTACTCCGAATCATCCTTGACCAATGTTTATCCAATCTGTTCTTGAACATCTCCAGTGCTAGAGATTCCACACATCTTCCCTCGGCAGTCCATCCCAGTGCCTCACTGCCCTAAAAAAGAATAAGTTTTTCCTGATATCCAATCTAAACCTACTTTGCTGCAACTTCAAACCACTGGTCTGCATCCTATTCTCTGCTGCAAAAGAGAAAAGGTGTTCTCCCTCTTCTTTAGGGCAACCCTTCATATATTTGAAGTAACAAAGTTTTGCATAAGAAAGTATTGCATCTCACTACGTCTTGGTCCATTCTTTATTTAACAATAAAAACAGGTTATACTGTTTTGAAGAAAAAACTTCAGTTAGAATGACACAATGAAAGAGAACAAGCCAGCTGTTCTTTAATGTAGTTTACATATTTAAAGACATTAATGGCTTCACATTATTTGGATGGGGAAACAGTACCTCGGTGCAAATATTGCCATTTCATTTGCACTGCATCAGGAATATTCCAGTCTACTAGATTTTAAGAAAGTTAGCCATGTATCATTCAACTTTTCCCCCTATGCAATTTTGTATAAAAAATATACCTCCAATGCAAACACATACAGGTATGTACATAAGAAGTGTCCTGTACATGATGATCATTTTAGGTTTCTTTTCTGGTGTATTGTGAAAGCAACTGGGTTCTAACAAAGTAGATCAGCTTGGTCTCTGTGAAGAATACAGTAATAAGAGTTGCTGTGAGACACAGACTCCCCACTGTAATGTGAATCAGTCTTGCCAGCCAGCCTTCATTGCAGCACAAAAATACCTAAAAACAAAAACCAAAAAATTTTTTAAAAAAAGCAAAAGCAGCAAGCAGTTGCAGGATAACAGCTGGCAGTGAGGCAGGTAATTAGTCTTGGTGATTTTTATGCACAGAAAAGCTCTCACTAGTGCAAAACGTAGTCTTTGCCAGCCATTACCTTGAATAAGTGTAATGAGAGTAAAAATTACATGCATTAGGTAAAGGAAAGACAGAATAAATGGCAAGTTTTTGGTTTGTTTGTTTTTTTCCTGGCAGCTCTTTGAAACTGCTGGGAAATGTGAAGTACTGGAATAAGAACCAATAAGGCACATTAAAAACCAGTGAAGTAGATTAGTATGAAGAGAATATGCCTATCGTAAAGGCACAATTTATGCACATGTAGTGGGTGGATGTGTAAGTAATAGCTATGTGTGTAGTTTAGTAAAATGCAATTGATAAACTGGATGTAGCACATCCATTTGTTTAATCTCTTAGAGGAGGATATCACCAGCTTGCAAAATTGTAATGCTATTCGCCTATGCCCATAAGCCCCTTTTCCAAGAATCTGATAATGTAAAACAAATCATATTTTCATTAACATTCAAAATGTTATTCACCTGGTATAAGCAAACTTTTGCAATGAAAGTGAAATCTAAGACAGACACTTACCTCTGAAAAACTAGTAATTATTCCGCTGATAATGTAAACAAAAATCAGCAAAGGGGAGAACAGCAAGCCCATCAACGGTCTGTAAGTGCTTTCCTTGAAATAATTATAGATATAGTGAACACTGTGTGCTATTCGAATACCCATGTTGAAGCAGTTTGCAAAGATAAAACCTATACTGCCTTTCCAATGGGTCAAGAAATAAGAAATGCACAAGAACATGAAGGACAAGGCCAGCATAACAAAGTTGAACCTGGGGGGGAAAAAAAACAACAAGTGAAACAGCCTATGTAATAAAAATATATCCAATCATATCCATATCTGAAAAAGGCACACAATTTATGAACTGAAACAGGTCAATAAAGAAGTACAATAGAAGAGCACGGAACGAAAAAAACTATTAGGTTGTGGGAATTTTATCTTATTCAGTTAATGGTAGATGTATTTCTATCAAATCTTATCAGAGAACACTAATGAAGTTTATAAAATCTGAAGAGTTCTACTATTTTATATCACATATTTTATATATTTAAACAAGACACATTCATTAACTTCTGACCAAACCCCAATTGAAAAAAAAATAGCGTGACTCATGAATCACAATTCTAAAAAGTTCACAAAAGTTATTTATTTAAATATATGTGTGTGTGTATGCATACAGTAACACTACATTTGTTTTTTCAAGAATGTTTTAGGGGTTATTAATAAGTATTCCCACCTTGTTACCCACCTGCCTGCCCTTTGCACATGGTGGAAAATGTAAAATGCATGCATACACACACACAATCTCCCTCTCTGTAGGCAGAGCAATCTAGGTAAGCTACTTGGAACTGTGGAACACTTCTGAACAAAGCTGCTAGTTTTATGGAAGTTATCAGGCTCTAGACTCTATGCATAAAGCAGGTGAAGGAGAGTTGGGAGATAAAAATATAATGTCACTGAAGTCACAAGTGCTATGCCAGCTTGCACCATCTGAGTGCTTAGCCCAAAGAATAAAAGGATTTTTCATTTATTACTAAGGCTACAGTCCTGCTATAACCCCAGATATTGAGTCTGGGATACACAGGCTAGATGTCTTTGGTCAACCCAGGGAAACACCCTTGTGCATATAAGGCTGCTCAGGGAGGGACTGCCTCTTAAGTTAGAAACATCACTGCTGCTGTTGGAGTAAGCGGGGAAGACTACTAGCACTGATGAACAACAGTATCAATCAGTCCCACCCACAAGCTGTAACAAGATTGGTTCCTTATTTCTCTACAAAGTTAAGACTCAAACTTGAACGTGGCGGTCTTTTTCAGGTGCCTTTTGTTTTAATTTTTCACCCAATGAGGCAAAAGCTTGCTAGTGTGTGTTATTCAGAATTTTGTTCTAATAAAAAAGCACAGAAGGGCTTCCAATAAAAAACAGAAGTCAGATAGTCACTGAAAAAAAGTAATATTTAAATGAAGAATTACAACCTTGATAACTGGAGACAACACATTTTTTTTTAAAAACAGTATACTACATATATAGTCCAAATAAAACAGCTGCTCCTACATGCACTGTTTTGGTTAGTGTTAACACTACTTTTATTTTAACTTAACACAGTAGTGGTTTTTTTTAACACAGTACTGTTCAAAATATACTCCTTACTTCTCTAGATGTATATTACACACACACACACCATACATGTTTGTCCCTGGCTCCGGTGTGAGACGCGTGGGCAGAAGCCTGTTGTGCCCCCGTTGAGCCCCAGGACCCCAACTCAGACCCCCAGCACAGCCAGAGATAGATAGGACCCCCCAGCAAGGGGGGGATCTAGTCAGCTGTGGGGCAGCTGAGAGGAGCCAAGGAGGTACACGTCCCCAATCCCGCTCCTACATGGCCCAGCCCCCCAGGGAGCCACGTGACCGGAGCCGTGAGAACAGGATGCGCAAACAGGCAAGCTTGTGGGCCCGGCATGAGAGTTAGCATGGGAGTTCATGCAGGAGGGTGAGCGGGAGGGCACAAGGCTCTGCCAATGAGCCCCAAGGGAAGGTTGTCACAGCAGTAGCCAGACTACCACCGGTGCAATGCGGATGAGCAGACTGCACCCTGAGGTTCCCCTCCAAATTGGAGACCTCCCCCTCAGGTACTTCTGAGGTTTCCAGCCAGGCAGAACATATGGTTCCAGGCTCCACACAGATGGAGCTTCTGACTTTCAGCTGTGGGGCTGCCTAGCATGATCCCAGGCACTTGGGACTGGGAGCATGGCCACCTCTCCTTGCAAGGTCTGTTTCACTTTGGAGTCTCCAAGGTGCCAGACAGAGGAGCTCCAGACTGCAGTCCAGAAACTGTGCGCCATCAGGGATGGCGAGGAGGAGATCGACTCCTACTGCCAGGCCCTTCACCCCATGAAGGCCAAGAGCAGACCAAGGTCACCTTCCAGGACAGGGGAGGACTTGAGGATCTCTCAAACTGTTCAGCCAGGGGGTTGGTCCAAGGTGGTCAACGACCCTAAGGCCGGCTCCCCCAGGGTCCCCTCTACTCTGGAGCTCGGCAACAGATATGAACCTCTTTCAGCCCCAGTAGAGCTTGCAGACCTGCCAGCTCCTGCAGGCAAGGGAGGAATACCAACAGCTACAATCCCCACTCTCCCTAAAATGAAACGCAGAGTGGTTGTTGTGGGAGACTCCTCCTGAGGGAGCAATCTGCTTCCCCAACCCCTCTGCTGCCCCCCAGGGGCCCGCATCCGGGACGTAGCAGAGAGGATCCCAAAGCTTATCCAGCCCTCTGACCTCTACCTTATGCTCCCTAACAATGTGGGTGTGAATGACACAGCTCTGAGAGTGGGGGTGCAGATGGTTTTTTCCTCAATCCTGCCGGTTATGGGTCATGGGCTGAGGGAGACGGATTGATATAGTGAACTGAAGACTGTGGCGCTGGTGTCATCGTGAAAGCTTCAGCTTCCATGATCACAGTCCGCCCTTTAGTGAGACGCAGTAGTCTGCTGGGAAGAGACTGCCTCCACCTCACTTCACTGGGGAGGAAGCTCTTTTCAGCCAGAATGGCTGACCTACTTGATCGGGCCTTAAACTAAGCCTGCCAGGGGATGGCTGGACTACCAGCAAAGCAAGCCCACTAGGCTACTACTACAAAGCCAGCAGGTTAGGGAACCCAAGGGAAACCACACCTACCCAGCCCTGAAAGGTGTCCTTCTGGGAGTGCAAGGAAGCCTTACACTAATGCCAGGAGCTTGGGGAACAAACAGAAGGAACTGATCCTCCTACTAAACAAGAATGACTAGGATCATACAGTGATAACAGAGACCCTGTGGAACGCCACCTATGACTGGGCCACAGATATAGATGGCTATATCCTGTACAGGAGAGATTGTGCGGATAAAGGGGGTGGGGGCGTAGCTCTCTATGTCAAGGAAAACTACACGTCCCTGCAAGCTGACATTGGCACCCATGGAGGACGACTGGAGACCCTCTTGGTTAAAATATGTGGGGAATGGTAGGAGTCTTCTACAGACCTCCTAATCAGGAATGAGAACTTGACCAAGAATTCACCAGGGAACTGGCTGAGGCTGCACGCTTTTGGTTAATGGTTATCATGGGAGACTACAACTACCCAGACATCTCATGGGAAGAACACTAGACAAAATCTGAACAGTCATAAAGCTTCTTCACGTGCGTGGACGAGCTCTACCTGATTCAAGAAGTCTATACACTGACAAGAGGTAACATGCTGCTGGATCTGCTACTGGCCAAAGGGGATGACCTAGTCAGCAACCTAAGAATCGAAGGAAAGCTGGGAGACAATGACCATGAGCTGAACACTTTTACTATCCATCGCAAAGCTGGCAAGTCAATCAGCAATGCAGAAGTCCTCGACTTTAGGTAAGCTGACTTGGATAAGCTCAGGAGGCTTGTTATTGAGGCCCTAAGTGGTAATGACTTGACAGGGAGGGGAGTCCAAGATGAGTGGTTGCTCCTTAAGAGAGCAATCCTGAAAGCACAAAGGATGTCCATCCAATCTCAGAGGAAAGGTAACAAAAGGGCACAGCAACACCCTTGGCTCAGTAGGAAACTTGTGGGCCTCCAATGTTTAGAAAGAGAGGCTTATAAAGGATGGAAGATGGGAATCACCACTAAGGAGGAGTACTCTGCACTGGTCCGGACCTGTAGGGAATGAACCAGGAAAGTCAAGGGTGTAACCAAACTCCAACTGGCTACATGTATCAAGAACAATAAGAAGTCCTTTTCAGATATGCGGGGATTCGGAAGAAAAGCAAGGGTAACACTGGACCCCTGCTAAACCAAATGGGACAACTGACAACCAAAACCCAGGAAAAAGCTAACCTGCTTAAAGGATACTTTGCATCAGTTTTTCACCGCCCTGCCTAACATGATGCAGCATGTCGGCATATATAAACCTGATGTCATTCAATATGGAAAAATGCAAGGTACTCCATCTCAGGGGAAAAAAACTTGTATGCTAGGCAGTGCTACGCTCGCTAGCACCATGGCCGAAAGGGACTTGGGGGTCATGAATGACCACAAGATGAACGTGAGCCACCAATGCGATGTTACAGCCAGTAAAGCAAACAAAACTCTGGCATACATCCATAGATGCTTCTCAAGTAAATCTCAGGATGTCATCCTCTCACTGTACTCAGCCTTAGTGAGGCTGCAGCTGGAGTACTGCATCCAATTCTGGGCTCCACAATTTAAGAAGGACGTGGAGAAGCTTGAGACAGTCCAGAGGAGAGCCATGTGCACGATCACAGGGCAAGAGAACAGGCCTGATGAAGAGGCTGAGAACCATGGAGCTCTTCAGCCTGGAAAAGCGTATGCTCAGGGGTGACCTGGTAGCAGCCTATCAGTATATAAGGGGTGTGCATCAGGATCTGCGGGAATGCCTGTTCACCAGAGTGCCCCAAAGGATGGCAAGGTCCAATGGTCACCAACTCATCCAAGACTGTTTTAGGTGGGACATAAGGACAAACTTCTTTACAGTCTGAGCCCCAAGGCCTAGAATAGACTCCCTCCAGAGGTGGCGCAAGCACCTACTCTGGACTCTTTCAAGAAGCATTTGGACACTTATCTTGCTGGGATACTTTGACCTTAGCTGACTTCCTGCCTCTGGGGCAGGGGGCTGGACTCGAAGGGATCTTCCGAGGTCCCTTTCAGCCCTAATGTCTATGCCATCTATGAGGTCTATGAAAATGGATCAGTAGCTCAGAAATAAACACTCCTGTAAAATATGCAAAACCTAATCATAAACTTGTATAATGTATAAAATACTATACATTATCCTTAAAATGGAATACAAGCAATTCTCTGCTCTTCAGTGAGTCTCAGAAGAGGAGAAAAACTGTTTCCTCAGGATTAGATGCCTGTCAATTCAGAATTAGTGTCAGAATATTTTTACCTATTTTAACTATTTCTCAGATGTTGCTAGTTACTTCATTTTTAAACTTGCCAAATGAATTAAGGTGATGAAAAAGGGCAATCTTTTCCTGGAAAAAGAATACAAGCAAACACTTTTTGTTAAAAAAAGGCATTTAATAAACCCTAAAAACGATAGGTATATTATAGCTTAATGCACATCCCTGAGACATTGGAAGTCATTAAAAAGGAAATAAAAGATTTGTCTAATTCCATTAGACAAATATAGCATATTTGTGAAATATGGAACATATATTTCATATACATTTCATGTATATTAAATTTGGAGCATGGAATATTTTTATAAGTACAATTTTTAACTTCAAGAAAGTTAAAATAACAGATGTATTACAAAAGCAATATGCTTTATAAAAAATTTAAATTCTTCTAATATTGAAATGTCTAACTTTAAAAACTATTCAAAACAAAAAAGTATAGAAATTACAGTTTTGTATTTTGCCTTTTACATTAGTCAATTTTTTAAAGCTGATGATTCCATATTGTCTAGAATTTCATATTCTTTGCATTGATTTGTATTCTGTGTAATGTTCAAAATTTGCTGAGATTATTTAACTATGGATTTTGGTACATAATTAGCATAGTTTTCAACATTCACTGACTTAAATGGGTTCTGGCTATAAGTCAAGTCATTAAGAAAATGGATAGATGTACATGTGAAGAGCTTTAAATTCCACCTTAATTTGAAGTGGTTCTAAATTGGAGGGCTTCAGTAGATTTGTCAAATACAGGACCCTCCTAGCTAAAGTGCTTCACTTGCATCAGAACCAATACTGCTGAGGTGTCCACAGCTAGTAGGTTAGCAAGCACACATTACAGTATGCCTATTGGCCTCTTAACCATGATCCCTGGAAGGCTTGCAAGGACAGCAGAATTGTTAACAAGTTTGAATGGGGCATGCATTTTAAGGAAGGAAACTGATCTCAGCACCGGAATGAGGTATGAGGATGTTAGAGTGGTTGCAGGGAGTTGGGTCCATGCTGGGGTCCCTGCTGCATGCAAGAGGAGTGGAGTCCACACTTCAGTTTTACCGCAGCTAAAGCTTTAACACTGTCATAGCCATTGCTAAACAGGCTGAGCTTTTGAGAAGCCAAAGTCCTGTGGTATGGTCCAGAAAATGACTGCTACAATATTCCTTCATGCCTAACTTTAAAGAGGTGGGGTCCATGTGAGCCAGGACCTGCGATGTCAAGGCAGTGCAGGTAGGAACAAGTAATAGATGGGCCACCTCAAGGTTGTGGGAAAACAGAGAGCAGAGCACTGCAGGATGTGCGTGGACCAGCTCCATGTCACATTCTGCTAAGGTACAAAATGTACCACAAGGCACTTCACAGTGAAGCACTTCTGCAAGTGTTACTATTTCATCCAGGGTCATTTTTTGTAGATTGGGCCAAACGGTAACCCTTTGATGCTGGGTAAACTGTACCCTAGGGCTGTGTGAAACTTTGGTCCCTGATTCAGTTCAGCCAGATTTGGTGGCCGAATCTCCAAATTGAATCGGAGGACCCTTTAATCTCTCTGAATTGATTTGGAGAGATTCGGCAATTCGGATGAAGATACAGCTTTAAATGTTTTTTTCTACATACCTCTAAGTAGCAGGGGCTCTGAACGCTGCAGTGCTGGGAAAGATGCAGCATCCCACAGCACGGAGGTCTCCCCAGCGTGCTAGGCAGCAGACCCGGAAGTGGACCAGAAGTACTTCTGGTCCACTTCCTGGTCCACTGGGGAGCACGCCTGCACCCCTCCCAGCTTGGCGACTGGTGCCTCCTGGGTCTGGGGCACCCAGGTTCCCCCTGTGGCTGACTGCCAATCCGGGGCAGCATGGAAGGGGCCCCCAGCACACTCCCTGGCAGACCAGGGAGTGGACTGGAAGTACTTCCAGTTATTAATACTTCTGGGTTTGCTGCTAAGCGTGCTGGAGAGACCCCCGTGCTCCTGTGATATGCTTCATCCGCCCCAGCACGGCAGCCATCACAGCCACGCCTGCTACCTCAAGGTATATAGAAAAAAAAACTTTTAAAGCTACGTCTGTGTCCAAATCACTGATTCGCCAAATCAGCATCAAATCTTCAGATTTGGATTCGGTCAAATCGAATCAGGGACAGTGATCCTATTCAATGGATTGAATCACTGTCCCTGATTTGGGCCGAATCTGAATCAAATAGGGCCCATTTTGCACAGCCCTACTATACCCTCACTTTTTCAAGCATTTTAAAAGTACTTGAAGCATTACAAATGTTTTGTCTGTCCATGGCCATACTGAGATATTTTATATACCAATGAGGTGTGTGATCTTGGGCATCCAAGCATGAATATTTTCACCATATATATGTATTTGAGGATTTAGATATACTTTGGAGTCAGCACTGAAGATGAGAAACTCAAAACTGAAACCTACATATTTAACTATCATATGTAAATCTTGGAGATTATTTTGATAAAAGAAAAGAAAACAGTTTACAATTAAGATTACAATTACGTTTGAGAAAAAATATTTTTCTCTGAAGGATATTTTTTCACATATTCACATCCAGAATAAATTCATTATCATAGTATTTAAAATGGAAGGAAAGAATAACACAGAAATTACATTTGTTTTTCAAGAATGCTTTAGAGGTTATTAATAACCTTGTTACCCACCTGTCTACTTCCTCTTTGCACATAGCAGCAAACGTAAAACATTCTGTTACTCCATTGACAGCAAGAAGTAGAACATATAAAGAGTAACAGCGCAGGAGACTTGGACCTAGAAATAGTAAAATGATAAAAGAACTGATGTTCCCATAAAAAAACCAAAAAATATATCTCATAATCCCTGATCCCCCGAAAGCTAATAACCATGTTATCATGAATGGCATTAGCACTATAGCTATCTTTAGGTTCAAACTGTAACTTAAATTACACAGATTTGTTTAGTTGGTACCTTTACAATACAATGAATAAACAACCTTCTCTCCTTTTAATTAACACTCCAGGGCCAACAGGGAGTTTTAGGAGTTGGGAATTCTTTATTAAAAATACTTGCTGTATCTAATATTGTCTACTGCATAACTTTGTGACTCAGTATCTGAGATGAGTGCTTAATTATCTGGAAGCAAGATTAATGATCATATTTATTTGTATACTATATATTTTTCCTCAAAATTAACCCTCCAAAACCAAGGTATGTGCTTTCAGTAAGGAAGCTAATTTCTGCACCAGAATGACAGCATGGGTACACTCTAGCATCTCCAGGGGATGTGATCCCTTCTCTTCCTTTCCTGGCCTGGACAAAAGGCAAAGTCAGCTGCTCAGGACACTCATTCTTCCTTGCAAATTCGGCAGCATACACTTTAACCCCATCATAGCCACCATCGAATTGGCAGCAGCTTTTTGCTGCTCAGCCAGAAGTTGCTGTCAGTTCAACAACATCTGTAACCAAGCCAAAAGCATGAACTGTGGTGCTTGCAAGGAAAAAAAAGTGACACCGTGGACTTTGTCCATACCCCAAATGGCTTTCTTCTGCAGAAAAATCTTTTTTCTCCTTCATACTACTTTCCCAAAACAAGGTGCATGTCTTATTTGGGGGGGGTGTGGTATGCGGAAAAATACGGTATGCATTTGGCCAAGATATACAAAGGAAACACACACTCAAACTTCTCAAAAAAAATCGAAACCATTCTAAACAGGGAACTAGATTAATATTTAATTGAGTTGGTAATTCATACGAAATAAGATATAAACACCTTGTTCTTGAAAGTCAGAAGGAAGAAAAAAATCATTCCTTGAACATACTTGCAAGTACAGAATTTTCTTAAAGAAAACACAGGGAAATGCAGTAAAGGAAGAACAAACCATTGTGGCTGCTCTGTTAAAATCGTAGCTGCAGGACACCACAGGTGCTGCTGGTTGAGTCAAACTGCCCGACCCCTTTTCTCTTTTCGACCTGAGCTGTGTGGACAGCTAGGTCTACTGGCAACCTGATCCACACCAGCAACACCTGCAGAGTCACTTGAGGGCCCATCCAGCTAATTTAGCAAGAGCCTCTGCCCCAGCAAACAGGGCTTGGTTCCACTTTAGAAAAACAGTTTCTAGCAGCATGAGCCTCTGTTGTAGGAAAGATCACTATAATGCTCACTGTGTAGCATGTGCCACACTTTCTCTTTTCCCTGACAGAGGGTGAGCTGCAGAAACTGCTTTTACCTTAAATATGGAGTCCAATGTCCAGCAGGTGATTTTGGGGGAAAGGGTACATGCAGTATGCAGGAAAATACAGTAAGGTCAAAATTCTACATCTATCTTGGAAATCTGTTCAGTGTACCCTGAAAACCCCCTATATGTGAACCTGTACAGATAAGCACATTAAAAAACAACTGCCCACATTTCATACTTCTAAGTATTAATCTGTCAAAATGTATAACTCTGCTCCTGAAGATGGAATTAACAGAGCAAGGTTTCACTCTGGTAAGTCCTTCTCTTTCAGTTCAAAGGAGTACCATATTTACCCAAATTCAAGATAACTTTGAATTTAAGACAACCCTCCAGTAATAAGATTCTATAAATGGACAATTCAAATTTATTTAAATTTTACCTTTATAGAATCTAATTCCTGGAATGTTGTCTTAAAATTGTCTTCAAACGCCAGGGGGGATGGGGCAGGGAAGGGGGCACAGAATGAGCAGCTGTCTGATGCCCACACTTGCTCCTCCACCACTTGGCCCCCATGCTAGTAACCCTGCCACCTTTCCCCTGCCACCTTTCCCCTCCACCCAATCCCTGACCCACGCTGTTGCCCACCCCCAACCTCCACTGCCTCTCAGTTTTCCATTTGATCCCCAACCTGCTGCCTGATCCCCTGCCCAATAACCAGCCCTAACTACTGTCCCCAAACTGACCACACCTGCTGCTGATCCAGGCAGCAGCAGCAGGAAACCGCAGGGGAGAGGGGAAGGCAAACAGTTAAAAGGAAAAAAACCTGACTGTATCCAAGAATAATCAGGATATCAAGTCATGTTAGGCTACATATTTCAGAAGATGCCTTCATTGTACATGGCTCTGTACATACATTTGTAAATAACCTACTTCACACGATCTTCCCATTGAATTTTACAGGCTAATCACTTAAATAACATTATTTGTGTACATATTTAAGACTGGTCCCAGAATAAATCTTATTTCCCCATATTTAACTCTTTACATAAGTCTTTCCCCACCAGGTAATCTTGCCCTTGACTGACAAAATGGGTAAATCTGAAGCCTTTTTTCAGAAAGTTCCAAAACTAGAAAGAAGCAATCAATTACCTGTTCCTGAACTGAGCATTGGACCACCATAAATCTCCAGAGCCAAATGTGAATAGGCATAGCCAAAAACTGTAATGGTCAAGCCAATTAGTAGTACAAGCTTCAGCAGTGATTCTAAAACAGTTGCAGCCAGACTGATATCATCCTAGAAAACATTTTGATGAGTTATGTGAATTAAAAACCACAGTATTTGGCTACTGGAATAAACAGCAGTTTTCACATACAGAAAAATAAAATTAATCAATTTTCTACAGCTGTTGTGGAGTCCTGAGTTACCTTTACACACAGTTTATAAAAGCTTATGCCTTTCTGAACCAGCCAGTCTCTAAGGGTCTAGCATACCCTGCCTTCCACCTAAAAGAATGAAGTCAACCTTTAACAAACTTATACTTGTCAGATATCATAGAGCTTTATATTTTGAAAGCCTTGTAAAGATACTAGTTTACCCTCAACACTTGTGCTATTGCAGGTATGCAAGGATTATGCTGGCAAACTGAAAAGTAAAGTAAGATATTTGCTTAAGATCACAAAGTGAGTTGGGATTTTTCCTGCCATATAGGGATACAGAGGTTTCCCTACCAGAACAAGTGCTATGTGAACAGTACTGTACTGTCTCAAGGGACCTATACTAGGCACAAGACAAAAATATGACAACTCATAATGCACTGGGCCAACTATACAATGCTGTATGTACATGAGAACAAGTACCTTTTGCTACCTATGCAACAATCAATGCCTCAAAGACAGCAATTCCATTAACTGTTTTAACACACAAGTCCTACTATAAATAAAATTATCCAAGTACACTTTCTCCAGATTCACAAACTGAATTCCATGCTTTCAAGAATTTCATATACAGAGTAGATTTGTAAAGAGCACGTATACAGTGCCCCCCTTCATTCTTGTGTTATTATGAAGGGAGTTACAAACCAATATTTACTGTCTATTTCATTAGCTTAAGTAGCCAAGCCGAAGCCTATTCAAATTCTTTTCAAAGCTGCTTTACATCCCCATTTTTTCAACAGATTATGTTGTGCAGAGTTCCATGTACAATTCTCTGAAAGTACAAACAGAAGAGTGTTTTGTTTTTCCAGTGTAGCCCATGTGTAGACAACTTGTAAAATGACTGCATGAGGTATGTGGGATACTATGAGTGCAGTGTAAGTGACACTGTTTGATTAGAATGTTTTAGATTCAACCTTGCTATTCAGCTCACTTACTTTTTTTATTTAAAATTAGCATGTTACCAGTCTATTCTCTTGTATCTCTCCCCAGTCCTTTGCTTTTATTGGGTTTTTTCTTTTTCTTCTGTTTTTTCTAGTTCAAATCCTCCAAGAACTTAAACATATGATTAAGTTTTATTCATTCTATTACAAGATATACAGGAACTTTCCTAAAGAAAATGTCAGCGTCTTAATTTTACCAGTCTTTGAGGAATATATTTTCATCACAACTTTCGTGCCCTTTCTCTATTACTAGATATTAAAACAAATTTGCTTCCATAAGACATGGCATAAAATTTATAATCTACAAGCAAATTGCCCATCAAGGATGATGGGGGGGAACAGGGTGCGAGTGGGGATGGAGCCCCATGTCCCCTCCCTCCCCACATCCGGACCTGTTCCCTCTTTCCCCACCCTGTGCCATTTGGGGTTCGGCCCCACTCCCCCCGGCATGTCAGGCCTGGGTCAGCTCTTCCCTTCCCCTCCCCACCACATCAGGCCTGGGGCCCAGGGCCACGCCACCCCCTCCACCATTTGGGGTCCAGGCCCACTCTACCCATTGACACCTCCAAGGAGTAGGAGGGGGGAAGAGAGCACTGCTAGCCTCACATCCTCGCTCTGTCCCCACCATCATGCGGCATTCTGCCACCACCTCTTGTCCGGAATGCTCTTGGAGCACTCTGTTTAGTTGTTTCAGACAACTAATCAGAGTACAAATAAAGCGTTACAGATGGACAGACTAAGGCTTTTATAATATTAGAATTCTCTTCAATTTAGACAGTTTTATAGTGTATAGTAATAGAACAAAACACTACCTACCTGTTTCTGTAGCTTTATATCTTTCCCTCTCTCCAGGATCTTAGCAAAGAAAACATAAAAACTCTCCTCTATTGGCAAAAAGACAAATCTGGCCACCAGTGAACCAAGGTTATTCACTATGTCATATATGCCTTAAAAAAGAAAAACAAAAAAGCATCTACAGAGAGAGAAATAACTTCCACTAAATAGTTTCTTATCATCTTGTCTTATGTTTTTCATTTCTATCTCCATAAAATTACATGAACATAAACTCCTTTTAAACTGGTAATTTAGTAAACAGACATTAAGGCTGCTTACAAACATTAAAAAACCCAAACAAACAGTGCTTTACTTTAAACTCAGTGCGTTCCCACACTGAGCCCAGTGCATGCCCAGAAGAGGCATTGACCTACCTCACCCAATGTCTGTATAAATCAAGCACTTCAGCGGGATTTTCTGGTGCTTTTATCTAATAGCTGATTGAATCAGCTATTAGATAAAAGTGTTAAAAAGCCCCACTGAAGCACCCTATCTATACAGACACTGTGGAACAGGACTGAACTAACGTGATGCCTCTCCCAGTAAAGCACAGGATTTTTTTTCCCATGCCTATGAGCAGCCTAAGTCAATATCACTGAATCTTAACATTTATGCTGAAAAGTAGATGCATTTCTAGGGAGGAAAAGTAAACATGCAAAAGGACTGGGGAGGCTAAATATACTGGCTATACTGTTAGCCCTTGAAAATATTTCATTTTTGAATAGACAAATTGTGAATAAGTTTTAATAAGGAACAATGGCATCCTGTCCCCTGAATTAGAAAGACTGCAAAGAGTTCGGCAAGTCATTACGATATAACCATGTGCAATGTAGAAAAAGTACATGCAAACATTTTTTTTGTTTGTTTATCCACCCAAAGCTACAGTGGCTGAAGATAAAAAAGTAAACCCAATTAACAAAGGTTCAAAGAGAATACATAGGCAGCAAAAACTTAAAGTTGAGGCAAAGATTATAATGATGACAGTCGTATTACTTTTTTATGGCAAGTCATTTAGTACCGCTGCCTTGTCAAATAAGAAAAAAAATCTAATGCAGAGAAAACCAGAATTAAAGGCTTGGATCACAAAATATTAAGATCTGCTTTCCAAACTTCCTTCAATTCTCCAACATCTTATGAGAAATACAACCAGATAATTAAAGTTTAGAGACCACCTCTACATTTCAAAAGAGCTTTCCAATATATTTTTTTAATTTTAAAGTTCATGCAAATGCACAAGACCAATAATTTTGTGCCACTATTTAGTAAATAGTATCCTTACCTTGGTCCCCAAAATTTAACACATTCAAAAAAGTCATCACATATCGTTCACCTGTAAATTAAAAAATAAAAAAGAGCACTGAATATTAACCTTCATCTCCAGTCACAATATTTATTCATGCCTTTCTAGCATGAGACAGTCAAAAAAACCCAGAAGAAAGAGAGAAAAGCACATTTTAAGAGTGACAGTTGTATTCTCCTTACACTCAATATGAATTTAAGACACTGGAAATCGCAGATATTAATACAGGGGTGTCAAACACAGCCTAGGGGCCAAATTCAGTCTGTGGAGCCACATGATCCAGATCAGAAGGTCTCGGACTGACCCTACATGTGCTAAATGGAGCCAGTCTGAAGCACAGGCTGGACTCAGTGCTGTGGGGGCTGCCTTGGGGTACAGCAGGTTGGACATACTCTGCATGTGGTGCCTGTACTGGACTAACCCTGCACACTGGCTTTAGGGCTGGTCCACATTGGGCCATGCTGGAGCCAAAGTGCTGGAGCTGGTGTGGGGGTTACTGCTCACAGCACACACCCCAGACTAACCCCCTGTGCCACAAGCAGTGCCCACAGCATTGAATGCAGCCTGTGTACCACAGACCAGCCCTGTTCTGGGGCTTGCACTGCATACAGCTCATGGGCTGTACCCAGAGCTGCAGACACGAATCAGGGCTGGCGTGGGGCTTGTGCTGCATGCAGTGCCCCAGACAGCCCTTTACGCTGGCCCCAGCACAGCCCAATCCAGGCCAGCCCTGGAGCCAATGGACAGGGCTGGTTCAGTAGGGGCTGTATACAGGCACATGCCCAGTGCTGGACCCCTGGCTCTGGGTACTGCTTGCAGCACCACGTCCAAGCCATGTACTACCTGCAGTACAAGCGCCACATATGGCTGGTGCACACTGCCTGTGGATAGGGGTGGCACAGGAAGTGGGCAGCATATGGCGCCCTACCAAACCAGCCCTGCTCACTGGTTCTGGCACAGCCGAATCTGCCCTGCAAACCAGCCCAGAGATGCTCACCCAGCACACAGGTCTGGATGAGTTTAACACCCTTGTATAAACACTTCTGAAAATGGTCAAGCTAGACCAGGGTAGGCAAAATGCGGCCCGTGGGCTGGATGTGGCCTGCCAGGCCATTCTATCCAGCCCGTGGGGCCCCTAAAAAATTTAGAAAATTAAAATATTTATCTGCCCCTGGCCGCCTGTCATGTGGCCCTCGATGGCTTGCCAAAACTCAGTAAGTAGACCTCTCCCCAAAATAACTGCCCACCCCTGAGCTAGTCAAAACCTGAAGTATCCACTAGTGATACGTTTGCCCTAATAGAAAGAACTTTATTTTTTAGTTAACTAAACATTTAAGGTATGATCAATTTCACAAGTAATGAGATTAACACACAAGGTTGCCATAGCAGATTCAAAACAAATTAAATATACCACAAAGCAAAACAAAAACAAACTCAACCCTACATTTTCAGGTTCACTTTTAGAAAAAATAGCTTCTTCCAAAAATAAGTGAATAACTACAGATAAAGAACTGTGATTGACCTTACAAAATTCCACAAGTGAATCAAAGAAGGAAAGTGTTCAAAGAATTAAATGCACTAAACGTATTTTAAAAACCTGAAAAAATGTCTGACTTGGTATTTCTATTGCATACATGTATAAGTCAGGTAAGATTTTATAGTGCTTTTATAGGGAAGACTTGCAATGACTTATAATCAGAACAACAGAGTATTAACTAGCATCTGTATTTTCCATTTATCTGTCAATATTTAAAGACTTATTTCTCTTATTAGTACAGGAGATACTTTCATTACTGTCATACAGAAGATGTAACCTTACTGTCATAATTTAGGTCTTATTTGTATTCCATCTTTGTCAGGGTTTGAATTACACTCCAACTCTTGCAGGAATCTGTGGCGGTGGCAGCCAAAAGCCAGAAGGTGCCACTGCCACCACTGCCTGCGCTGCTTGGAAAGGTGTGTGGCGAGCCAGGGGCTCTTGTCTGTTATGGGGGTTCCCTGCCC